AAAAGATTCAATAATATGCTGCTTTCAAGAGACTGATCTCACAGGAAAAAACATCCACGGACTGAAGGTGAAACAGCGGGGGAAAAAATACCACTCATATGGACCATGTAAAGAAGCAGGGATTTCCATCCTCATATCAGATAAAGTGACTTAAAGCCAAGGAATACAGAAGGACATTTCATACTGCTTAAGGGATTCATACATCAACAAGATATAATAATCATAAATATCTATGACCCAAACAATGGGGCATCTATGTATATCAAACAAACCCTTCTCAACTACAAGGACTAAATAGACCATAACAACAATACTGGGTGACTTTAATACATCTCTCTCACCACTGGATAGATCTTCCAACAAAAACTAAGCAAAGAAACTGTAGAAATCAATAATATTATCAATAATTTAGACTTAACAGACATATATAGAATATTCCACCCATCAACAAGAGAATACACTTTCTTCTCAGCAGCACATGAGTCATGGTCCTTCTCCAAAATAGACTTATGTAATACCACAAAGTAAGTCTTARCAAATACAAAAAAATGAGATACTGTCCTGCATTCTATCTGACCATAATGGAACAAAATTAGAAATCAATGATAAAATAAAAAMTAGAAGGTACTCCAACACCTGGAGACTAAACAATACACTATTGAATGATTCGAGAATAACAGAAGACATCAGAGGTAAATGAAAACTCTGATACAAATTATCAAAATCTATGGGACACTATGAAGGTAGTGCTAAGAGGAAAGTTCATTGCATTAAGCTCACTCATTAAAAGAAGGAAAAGTCAAAAAGTCAACCTGACTTACATCTCAAAGTTCTAGAAAAAGAATAACAAACCAATACCAAAAGTAGTAGAAGACAGGAAATAATTAAAATCAGGGCAGAAATCAATGAAATTTAAACAAAACAATTTTAAAAATTGACAAAACAGAGCCCCAGTGACACTTGTGGAGCCCAGGCAGGCCTAGGTCAGCACCACCGACACCAATGGAGCCTGCCCTGGGTCCAGAGACAGCTTACAGCAACAACACTGCATGCCATAGAGCTGCATCTCTGAACACATCTYCCAGTGCCACCACCTGGCTCCCCCCCCACCTAACCTAACACTCTATCGCTGAAAGCAGTCACCTCCAGCTTGGGACACCTTCATTGCCATCTTTAGTTGGGGTAAACCTCCAGCTTGGAACACTGGCTAAGTAGGTATCCATAGTCCCCAACACCCCTCTCCCCGACAGCTGTTAACCAACTTCTTTAGATTCCTCTTTCAAGCTTTCTAAGATCTAATAATTGTATATCCTCACCTCCTACCCCCTCAACATCTCATCCTACACCTCACCCCCTGTTCTTTATCCACCATCAGAAATTGTAGACCCTTTTTGCATGCCTATTGTTTATATTGTATATAATAATTGAAATCACCATTTCTATATATTGTGGCAAAAGATAAATGTCTTAATAACAACTATTTGGATTAAGGTTTATATTGTTTAACATTGTTCTTCCCCAAAAAGGAGAGGTATTGGAACTGTGCAGGGGCACTATAAGCCTGTAGGGTAAAAATAACTTAATGCCACGGATCTATAGTGCTAGAAGGGAAAACACATGAACAACATAAAAAAACAAGGGGAAAAAGATGCCCCAAACAAATCAAAAGAATACATTATTAGAATCCATGGCCAGCACAACAAAAGAAATGTCAGAGAAGGAGTTCAGGATGTATAATTAAAATGTTCTGTGAATGAAAGGATGATATAAGAGAACAAATACAGGCAGCAAAAGATTGCTTCAATAAGGAGATAGAGGTTGTGAAAAAAAAAAACCAACACAATCCTTGAAATTAAAGAAACATTAAACCAATAAAAAACTCAATAGAAAGCATCACCAACAGGGGAATAGCAAGGATGGTGGAATGTGATGGACATCATTATCCAAAGTACATGTGTGAAGACATGAATTGGGTTGTCAACCTACGTTATATACAAACAGAGATATGAAAAATTGTGGTATATATATGGGAAATAAGAATTGTAATGCAAAAAAAACCAAAAGTACATGTATAAAGACATGAATTTGCGTGAACATACTTTTTATACAAAGATATGAAAAATTGTGCTGTATATGTATAATAAGAATTGTAATGCATTCTGTTGTCATGTGTTTAAAAAAATAAAATCAAATAAATAAATAAAGTATCACCAACAGATTAGACCACTTGGAAGACAGGACCTCAGACAATGAAGACAAAATATATAATCTTTAAAAGAATGTGGACCACAGAGTGAAAATGGTAAGAAACCATGAGCAGAACATTCAAAAAATATGGGATAGTGTAAAAAGACCAAATTCAAGAGTTCTTGGGACAGAGGAAGGAATAGAGTTCCAAATCAAAGGAATGAGCTATCTATTCAATGAGATAATACCAGAAAATTTTCCCAACATGAAGAATGAATTGGAAAACCAAATTCAAGAGGCTTATATAAGGATGCCAAATGTACAAAATCACAATAGATCCACACCAAGGCACATTATAATGAAAATGCCTAACATACAGAATACGAAAAGAATATTAAAAGCCATGAGAGAAAAGAATTGGGTTATATATGGGGGAAACCAATTAGATTCTGTGCAGATTTTTCAACCCAGAACAACATAYATCAAGCTCTGAAAGCAAATGGATGACAACCAAGAATCTTATAGCCAGCAAAATTAAGCTTTAGATTTGATGATGAAATAAAAAACTTTCATGATAAACAAAAGTTAAAAGAATTTACAACTCGAAAGCCTGTACTACAGAACATCTTCAGCAAAATATTCCTTGAAGAGGAATTGGAAAACAATGAAAATAAACAGAGAGAGGTATTACACTAAAGGAAAAACTAATCCAAGGAGAAACCAAGTCAAGTTAAATACCAAAAACAAAAATGGCTAGGAATACAAATCATGTCTCAATAATAACTGTGAATGTTAATAGCCTAAACTCACCAATCAAAAGACTTAGACTGTCAGATTGGATTGAAAAAAAAAAAGACCCAACAATATGCTGCCTCCAAGAGACTCATCTCATAGGAAAAGATATCCATAGACTGAAGGTGAAAGGTTGGGAAGAAACTCACATGGACTGCAGAAACAAGTAGGAGTTTTCCATTCTCATATCAAAAAAAAGTAGACTTAAAGCCAAAGTTAATCAAAAGTGACAAAGAAGCACATTTTATACTGCTCAATGGAACCATACAGCAAGAAGACATAACAATTATAAATATATATGCCCCAAACAGTGCACCATCAGAAAGATGGTAGAATGTGATGGACATAATTACTCTAAGTACATGTATGAAGACACAAATAGTGTAACTCTACTTTGTGTACAACCAGAGATATTAAAAATTGTGCTCAATATGTGTAATATGAATTTTAATGCATTCTGCTGTTGTGTATAATAAATTAAAATGAATAGAAAAAATAAATTGACAAAAAAGCTGGTTCTTTAAATATCTCAATAAAATTCACAAACCCTTAGCCACCTTATGRAAAGGAGAGAGAAAACTGAAATTACTAAAATTCCTGATGAAAAAGGAAATATCATGACAGACACTATTGAAATACAGAAGACAATTAGAAACTATTTTGAAAATTTATACTCCAGGAAAATAGAAAACCTTGGAGACACCAACAAATTTCTAGAGGCATATGATCAACCCAAACTGAATCAAGAGGACATACACAATTTAAACAGATCAATTTCAAGCAAGGAAATAGAAGGTGCCATCAAAGCCTAACAATGAAGAAAAACTCTGGACGAGACAGATTCACAGCTGAGTTTTACAAGACCTACAAAGAAGAATTAATAACAATACTCAAATTATTCCATGAAACAGAAAAAGAGGGAACACTTCCAAACTCATTCTAGGAAGTTGGTATCACCCTGATACCAAAACTGGGCAGAGACACATCAAGGAAAGAAAATTTCAGACCAATATCCTTGATGAACATTGATGCAAAAATTCTCAATAAAATTCTAGCAAATCACATACAAATCATATCAAAAAAATAGTGCACCATGATCAAGCTGGGTTTGTTCCAGGGATGCAAGGCTGGTTCAACATACAGAAATCAATAAATAATTCATCACATCAATACTTAAAGATAAGAATCACATGATCATCTCAATTGATGCAGAGAAAGCTTTTGAGAAAATACAGTATTCTTTCATGTTCAAAACACCAGAAAAACTAGAATAGTAGGAACATAATTGTAAAAGCTGTCTATCCCAAACCCAATGCCAACATCATTCTAAATGGAGAAAAATTGGAAGCATTCCCTCTAAAAACTGCAACAAGATAGGAATGCCCTCTTTCTCCACTTCTATGCAATATTGTCCTGTAACTCTAGCCAGAGCAAGTAGATGGATGAAAGAAATTAAAGGGATATGAATAGGAAAAAAAGAACTCAATCATTATTTGGTGATGACATGATTTTATACCTAGAGGATCCAAAAAACTCCACCAGAAAACTTCTAGAGTCAATTAATGAATTCAGCAACGTAGCAGGATATAAAATTAATACCCATAAATCAAATGCATTTCTATACATCCATGATGAATCTTCTGAAAGAGGAATTAAGAAAACTACCCCATTCACAATAGCTTCAAGGAAATATAGTATTTGGGAATTGACTTAACAAAAGAGGTGAAAACTACATAACATTAAAGAAAGATATTGAAGAAAACCTCAAAAGATGGAAACATCTTTCATGCTCTTGGATAGGCAAAATTAATATTGTCAAAATAGCCATACTACCCGAAGCACTATACAGATTCAGTGCAATTCCAATTAAAATCCTAACATCATTCCTTACAGAAACAGAAAAGGCAATCATGAAATTCACCTGGAAAAGTAAAAAAAAAAAACAGAATAACCAAAGCAATCCTTAGAAAGAAGAGTAAAGCAGTAGGTATCACAATACCAGACCTTAAACTATACCACTAAGCTATAGGAACAAAAATGGCATGGTATTGGCACCAAAACAGGCATGTAGACCAATGGTACAGAATAGAAGACACAAACCTACATAAATACAATTATCTTATATTAGACAAAGGCATCAAAAACATACACTGGAGAAAAAATAGCCTCTTCAACAAATGGTGCTGGGAGAACTGGAAATCGATATGAAGAAAAATGAAAATAAACCCCTATCTCACCATGCACAAAACTCAAAAGTGGATCAAGGACCTAGGAATTAGTCCAGAGACCCTTTGCCTGATAGAGGAAAAAGTAGGCCCAAACCTTTGCAGATAAATGGGCGGAGTTGGAGAATATCATGCTAAGCAAAGTAAGCCAATCCCAATAAACTAAAGGCCAAATGTTCTCTCTGATAAGTGGATGCTGAACCATTATTGGGGGGATGGAGGAACTTTTATTGAGTAAAGGGAAGGGAGAGATGGGGAGAGTGCATGGGGGCAGGCAAGATGGTGGAATGAGATGGACATCATTACCCTAGGTAAATGTATGACTGCGCATATGACGTGAGGTTACATCGTGTACAACCAGAGAAATGAAAAGTTGTGCTGCATTTATGTACAATGAATCAAAATGCATTCTGCTGTCTATATACTTAATTAGGATAAATAAGTAAATTTTTAAAAATTACTAATCATCAAGGAATTGCAGATCAAAATCACAATGAAATACCATCTCATCCCAGTTAGAATTGCTATAGTAAAAAAGACAAAACTAAACAAATGCTGATGTGGATTTGGAGAAATAATAACCGGGGTGTGACGAGCAACTTGTGTAGATTGATACAGCAGGAGTAGGAGCCGTTTATTGTAGGACAACAGAGGTATTTATACATTCCACACAGCTTATCTTAATTAACATAAACTTGATACAGCAGTCAACCAATAAGGAATCTCCACACTTAATGGCTCGATGGCGTTACTTCACAAACCACTCCCTCTGGCATTTTGCCAGGYGCCATCTTGACTTGTTTACAGACCCTAACATTTCTCTGGCAAAATGCCAGGTGCCATCCTGACTTGTTTACAGACTCTAACATTAATATACTGCTGGTAGGATGGAAATTAGTACAACTTTTATAGAAAATAATGTAGAAGTTCTTCAAAACACTGAAAATAGAATTATCATGTGATCCCACTGTTTCACTAGTGGATGGATATATATTCAAATGGAAATGAAATCAGTGTATCAAATAAATCCATGGCTAATATAGCACTGTTTTTTAATAGCCAACATATGGAATCAATCAAGATGTCAATGAATGAATGAGCAGATTTTAAAATGTGATGTAAATATACAATGGAATATTGTTCAGACGTAAGGAGAATGAAGTCCTGTTATTTGGGGCAACATGGATGGAACTGGAAAACATTATGTTAAATGAAGTAAACCAGAAAGACAAATGCCATATATTATCATTCTAATGTGGAAGCTAAAAAAGTTGATTTCATAGATACAGAAAGTAGAATAGTTGTCATTAGAGGCTAGGAAGGCCAGTAAGGAGAATAGAAGAAGGCCAAATAATGAATACATTTAGAGGCAAATTTCTTCTTATGATTTTTTTTGTGTATTTAACAATGACTCTGTTTAATAGGTAAGTGAATGATTAACAGCAATAACATCACCTAATCTTTAATTAGAAAGAAAAAGAAATTTCTTTCTCAATTATTGCCCCTGTCTGGTAGAATCCAGACAGCTTACTTGACTCAAAATGAACAGAGCCCTTAGTAAGTCTCTAAAGGAATGTGTAGAACTTTCATATTTTTTTCATAGCCTTTGACCAATAATCTCACTTTTAGAGTTCCATCATAAGGAAAATTCAGGGGCTAGATTTGTGGCTCAGTGGTAGAGCACTCACCTTGCTTGTGTGAGGCCCTAGGTTTGATCCTCAGCACCACATAAAAATAAATAAATAAAGGTATTGTGTCCAACTACAACTAAAAAATAAATATTTTTTAAAAAGAAAAGAAAAATTCAGAGAAGTGGTCAAAGAGCATCAAATTAAGATGTTTATCAAAAAATTAAACTTGTAAGCATAAGTTCTAATATTCTATAGCATAGTAGGTTGACTGACGTTACAACAATTTATTGAAAATTTTAAAAAGAATCAAAACACAGGACTTTGAAACTTCCCAACACAAATGATGAATATTTAAATGGATGGAAATGCTATTGACCATGATTTTATCATCACATATTGCATGTATGTTTTGGATTTTCACACTGTACTCCCACAAGTATATACAATTTAAATTTTAATTTATTTTTTTAAGAGAACTTAAAGAACAAGTGTTGTACAGCATGATGAATAAMAGCCAGAATTTTAAAAAGACTATTTCAAAAAAGAGAAAATTCTTAGCTGCCAACTAAGAGATCAAGAAGATATGGTCTGCACAGTGTCTGTTGAATGAGTATCTTTAGGAAGAATACCTCCATCCTGTATTGTCATCCCTTCCTTTTGGATCCTACAAAGATTCTACCTCTAGATCAGGCCTTTTATAAGCCTTGGAGCTGGTAGTAAAACTGASGATGGAATGCTTGCCTAGGATGTACAAGGCCCTGCATTCCATCCCCAAAATAAAAAAGAAAAGCCTTACAACTGGCTMCAGTCCTAATCTTTTTTCTTATTATCTATAACTTGGAATTAAGTCTTTTGTGATATCTTTAAGTAGATAAATATTGTTCCTCTTTTAAAGTTCTTCTTAAGACTGAATTTTAAGCTATACTTCCTCTTTTCATTACATAGTTTTACATTAACTTTGTTATAATTTCTCTGTGTAGAAATTTTTGAAATATTATACATTATACTTAAGTGGTATCCATATTTGCACTTCTATTGAACTTTTTTTTTAATATTCTGCACCAGAACCAGAAGATGATGATGTCATAAGACATATTACTAGGCTAAGAGAAAAGCTTGGTTGGCAAACTGCCTTATCACCAAAAGACTTTAAATATGATAATCCCCAAATTGCAGTTCAGAAGATTATCCTAAAGGTACTATTGCACTTTATTTAATTTTGGACTATAAAAATCAATATTTTAATTTTAATTTCTATTTAATACATTTAAAATATTGCATCAAAATCAGATATGTTAATATCAAATTGCAATAATTGTTTCATGGTAAAAGCTTATAAAAAATATTGACATTATTTTGTTTCACTTATTTAAGGAACAGAAAATTAAAAAGGCCTATAAATTTTTAAGTCTATGATGCATCAAAATATTTGTGTCTATCCTCTTTTATTCCCTCCTCTAACTGATTTGGTCCCCAGGAAAGGATACCATCTGCCTGAAATTAGAATCTACTCTTTTATTCTGATATGCCAGTTTTTTGTTGTTGTTTTGGTATGTGATTTAAAAAGAAATAAAAGAAATTTATTGAAGAAACTTATTAGAAATACATATTGTCATTCACAATCCTAGATCCAGTGAATCAGAAACTCTGGAGATGGGGCCTTGCAATCTGTATTAAGCTCTCAGGTGAATCTAATGCACAATTAAAAACACTGCTCTAAACCAGGGGTCAGCAAACTTTTCCTGAAAAGGGCCAGGTAATATATATTTCAGACTTTGCAGGTCTTGAGATCTCTTTTGTAACTACTGAACTCTGTTGTAACTACTCAACTTAACAGTGCAAAGCAATATGTAAACAAATGGGTGTATGGTCCAATAAAACTTTATTTACAATAAAATACATGTGGCCCATGTTATGGTTTGCTGATCTCAGCTCTAGACTGTTACCATGAGGATAAGTGATCATTTGGACACTGTTTAGAGACACCATAACGTAAAGGAAAGAATATGCACAATGGAATCAAATTCGTGTAGTTTTGAATCTCAGGAATTCACCAGGTTATCTTGGCCAAGTTGCTATTGTCTCTGGGCCTTACTTTCTTTGATCTTAAAATGGTGATAATAGAACTTACCCTAGAACATTGTGAATATTAAATCAAATATGGCACTTTATGTGCCATAGTGCCAGGAAGATTGTGGACATACTTTATTTTTTATAAAAACAACACAAAACCTCAGCTGTACATGAGTTCTTTGGACTCTTAAAAAAGATATGTTTCAGTTGTGTGTAAAGAAAGAATTGAGAATATGAAAAAAAACCCACTTGTTTTCAGTAAAAAAGAATAATTTAATTGTAACATTTTTATGCTTCAGTAATTGAATTTTAATTAAATATATGATCCATTTAATATAATTGTACCTATACTGAGTTTCTAATAACATCACAGTTTGAAATATAATTTAGAACAAAAATGMTTTAAGTGGACAAATAATAGTAAATAGCTAACACAATTGAGAAGAAACAAAGACTTTTCAAGGAAGAAAAAATTTTAAAAATAATTGTAAAACTGGATCCAAAATTTAAAGCTGAAGTAATTGGGAACTATTTAGTTATTTAATTCAGTAACTTCTGAGGGCATCATTGAATACTAAATAGTTTTTTTCTTATAATCAAATTTAACTGCCCAAAGAAGACTAATTCAACTTTCTTATAATTTTAGAATTGATTTCATCAGTAAAAGTTTGAAAGCTAAAAGACGGTAGCTTTAAAATTTACACTTAAATTTTTCTTACTATAAAACAGCCAATTCCTCAGAAATACCAATTAAATGAGGGAGAGGCATTATATTTTTGCAGAAACTTTGAGCATGAGTTTAGAGTCAGACTTGGATTTAAATTTCTACTTTGCCACTTCTTATATCGGTGATATTTTTCACATTACCCAATTTATCAAATTATTAATTTCTGCATCTTCTTAACAAGATAAAAAGTATTGACCCTTAATTTCCCTTTAATTTTGATTAAAGTTAAAATATTAAACTTTTATGGTTTAGATAATATATGTGGAACACTTTCTTATGAAATATTTCTTAACAAATATTTGCCACAATTATTACCCACCATCATCAAAATAAATGATATATCTAATATGCCTCAAGTTTTCTTGTGTTGGCAAATAAATTTATTGGAAGATGGCATATATAAAAGGTATGTCATCGAGTTTTTTGGGTTAGTAAACATACATTAAATGCATTAGTAAGCAGATGGATACATTTTTCTGAATGTTTTATGACCACAGTGTGTTTAAGAATGAAAATTAAATATATTAAATCTTTCATAAGATTAATCTTATTGAACTTTGATTAGACACAATTTGATGTTGGTTTTCCTCAATGACATTTCTATTTCTATTTTTATTATTATTATTATTWTTWTTTTTACCTGTGCTGGGGATCAAACCTAAGGTCTCATGTATGCTAGGTAAGCACTCTACCATTAAGCTAACATCCCCAGCCCAGTCATATTTTTAATCTTTATATTAAAATTGTTTCATTTCATTTCATAAATAAATTAATATTTTTTAAAATTTTTCATTTCAACCATTTTATTAGTTAATTTAGTCAAATTAATTATATTTTTTAACCTCAGGAGCCTTTAAAAGATGATGGGGAATTTGTATATTGCATTCCTCGGTATAATCCTAACGGCCTTTCCAATCCATATGATCCTCAAGTAGTCTCTACCCATAGAGCTAAAAAATGCAAAGAATTTTGGATTATTACCGCTTCATTTGTCTCAAAGGTAATATATAATGGGTGCTTCAGCTTTCAGATTTAAAATAGAAAAATATTATCCAATTTATAATTTTATCGCATAAATTTATCTTTGTGCTTTAGAGAAGTGTGGTCATTTGAGAAGCAGTCTATATTTAAGAATTTCCTTGGGAAAGTTATTTGATAGTACATTTTTCTTCTTTATATAAATATAGGCTTGAGGATTCAATTTTAAGAAAATTTCGAGGTCTCGAATGCTTTATTAATATTTTGTGTAATTTTTAAAGGAAGAATTAAAAAACAGGCATTTGCTAGTATAACAGGAATGATAATTATAAAGATAAGAATGCTCTTTATTGGCACATTTGTTATAAACTTTATTTCCAGATACAGAAATCCCCTACTATACTCTTACATAGCACTTTGATACTTACCACAAGTTACAATTATACAAATACCTGTTTTGATCATTTGTTTAATATCTGTCTGTCTGCCTCTGTTCTCCCAGCCTCCCAACTAAAGTAAATTCTAAGTACACTTTGCAGAACCACATCTGCATAAAATAGAGCTAGATTACATATATGGAAGTAATATGGAGTGAAGATGGAAAGAACAATTTTTATATAAATAAAAACATACATAGATACATATATGCTGATAAAGGCATACTTTTATTTCTAGAAGAAATATATGAATATTTTAACATTCTATTRGGCAGACAACTCTTGGGAAGACAAAATTCCTTGGTGAATATTAGTTTTTTGATATAAAAATAGGGTATCTGAGAAGTGGGGTTATAAATTGAACCACTCTAGTTTAAATTGAGTTTATAGGGCTGGGGTTGTAGCTCAGTGGTAGAGCACTTGCCTTGCATGCTTGAGGTTCTGGGTTCAATCCTCAGCACCACATAAATAAATAAAAAATAAAGACATTGTGTTCATCTACAACTAAAAAAATATTTAAAAAAATAAATTGAGTTTATAAATACTAAAGAAAGCATAAAAATTGCAGGACTCAAATTTGTATAATCACTTGGGAGAAGTATTTCTGAGTATGGAGGAAATCTCTCCTATCTTTTCTCCATTGGAGCACAAAAAGTAGCAGGAAAAAGGCAAGTCTAGAATCAATGTGTGAAGGGAAAGCAAAGCAGTTGAGTTTAATGAGGGTTCAGGCACAGAAAAGGCTTAAATTTAAAGGCAAGTAGTTATGAGCCCTAAACATAGCCTTTCTTAATTTCTTGAAAATAGCAGCTATTTTTTTTAAAAAAATCCTACTTTTGTGCTTTTTATACTTGTAGGTTATTAAAATAAGTGACAGTACAGAAGACGTGGAGCTCACACCTGTTTTGGAATGGCTATCAGAAAGACATTTTTACTATTTATTACAGCAATTTAAGATATTTTCCAAATTTCGGTGAGATTAATAAAAATTAACCTTTTTTATTTTTTATAGTTTGATCCTGTTTTAAGAAAATGGCCTGGATGACACTTGATTTCTATTATAGTAATGCCATGTTTATGGGGAATTATAGTATTTCAGATAAAGGAAACTTACTCATTTAAGTATTAAACCCTTAATTTTTGGATTAACATTGCCCCCAAAAAAGATATTTAATAGTCAAACATACTTAAATAGACTGTATTGACCTCACTTTGCCTTTTTTCATGCATTTATTCATTCATTAATTAAACACCTGCTAAAAATCAGGTGTTATTCTCGATGCTGTGGTTACTCTGTCAAACAAACCAAACAATTGTCTAGCTCTCAAAGAACCTTAATTGTAGTAGGTGAGAGATAATAAACAAATCTGTAAAAATGTAAAATGTCAGAGATGAAATGTTATGAAAGAACTAAAAATTTTTTAAAAATAAAACAAGGATGAAGAAGCTGGGGGCAACTTGTTGATTCAAGTTCATCTTTGAAAGATTTGTCTAAGGTACTTTACATTGTATCACACAACAGGATTCCTAAGACTCTCTTTCCTCACAAAGTAAACCCAGACTGTTGTTCTTTCAGTGTTTGCACAGTACCTAGTTTTATAATTTTCTTTTTCCTTCTCAAATGTCTACCTTTTCTTGTGGTGTGCTGAAATTTGCTGGGGACTAGGAAGAGAAACTAAATAACACCCACACTCCCTCCCCCCGACACATTTGCATGGTGCTGGGGCCTCACACATGCTAGGCAAGTGTTTCACTATTGAGCTAGAGCCCCAACCTGAGATTTAAAAAAAAATACTTTAAATTATTATATTTAACATAATAAATAGATTAAATAACTTTCCAGTAAGAGAAGTATATGGGATTTTGTGGCAGAGAAGTTATTTATTGGACAAAATTTGTCATGTACCTATCCTGTTTCACTCTTATGAGGACAGGCAATAGAACCACGAAAAAATATACAAAGTGTCTGTTTCTATATAACTTAGATTTCAATGGAGGGAGATGAATAAATAAGTAACTAACTAAATAAAGTAATTTCAGATAATGATAAGGACCAGAAAGATAATAAAACAGAATAAAATACATGTTTAGATAGGATGCTAAGAGATGCCGTATTTAAGCAGAGACCTAAATGATAAAAGGAAATGGCCATGTGGGACATTGAGAGAAGATAGTTCCAGCCAGAGGATAGACCAAGTTCAGTAGTTTTTATTCAATAATAGGAATTGCGTGACAGGAGCATTGAAGAGATTGGTAGGAAATGAAGCTGGTTCTGTTAATTTCTGGGTCACATTCAGTGAAGGTGATTGAGGAACGGTTCTGATAAATTTCCTGTCTAGGATATGTGATAAATGCATCCCTAGAATTTAGGTGTTAATTGTAAGGCTAGATAGGTTTTGATTCTGGATTATCAGTTAAAATATTATCCAGAGTACTATTTCTTTCTTTCTTTTTTGGGGGGGTGGGGAGAACCCTGGATTGAACTCAGGGGCATTTGACCACTAAGCCATATCCCCAGCCCTATTTTGAATTTTATTTAGAGACAGGGTCTTACTGAGTTGCTTAGCACCTTGCTTTTGCTGAGGCTGGCTTTGAACTTGTGATCCTCCTGCCTTAGCCTCCCTGAGCTGCTAGTATTACAGGTGTGTGCCACCACACCTAGCTCAGAGTGCTACTTTTTATATTTATTTATTTAAAACTCTGTATCAGTGTTGGGCTTTCCACTATCATCTTTGCCTTATATAAATACTCAAGGTCCATTCTTCTTTAATCAATTTTCATGTATTAAACTTTTGAAACCCAGTCAGAACTGGAACAAGAGTTTTGTTTTGTTTTGTTTTGTTTTTAATGACATTTGTCATCAGTAAGTACACTGTCATTTTTTTCTTGCTTCTTTCTCAATCTCTTTCTCTTATTTTGTGATCGTGGGACTCATGTTCTCCATTGAGCTATACCTAGCTCCATTTTCTTTATTCATTTTAAGAAAAATAGAAATTAAAATTTTGTCAATAAATTTTATTTTTAAATTTTATTTTTAGTATATTTTGTGAAGTTATTAAATTACTGTATTGTAAAAGTAACATTTCAGGCTGGAGTTGTGGCTCAGAGGTAGAGCTTTCTTCTACCATGCATGAGGCACTGTGTCCAATCCTCAGCACCACATAAAAATAAAATAAAGAATATTATGTCCACCTATAACTAAAAAATAAATATAAAAAAATTTCAAGTAGAATAATAAGCTAAATATGAAGTGTTAACAATTTTATCTGGTGATGCTATGGACAGAGCAGTGGGTTGACTAGAGCATCAGCATGAGCCTTTTTATCCTGTTAAACTTCCTGATGGATTAGTTTGTATGGCCTGGTGCAGACACTCAGGACACTGCCAATGGGTTCCCTGAGTTTTCAGGAATCTTCAAGAGTCTTGATTGTACCACAGCTCTACAGATCTGGATCAAAGTAAAATAGGAGCTCATTAGAATGCCTATATATATGGTCAAGTCACAAGATTTGTGTGAGGCATTTCTGATTTTCAGGGTCTCTGGTGTTTCTCTTTGAAGGGCATCTCATAGGACTCTCTTTGAACTGCTTGGATGGATTCAGACCTCTTTCAGTCTCTTGATTTAAACTCAGCCAGTATCAAACAGATTGACTGTTTGGTTGGTTTTTTGGACACCCCCTCCCTGCTATTTTTCTGTCCTCACTAGCCCTTACCAGCTACACAGGAAAACAAGTAATCACATTTCAGTGCTTACTTAAGAGTGGTTGTTTTCTTCAAAATGCAAAGGCTGCTAAGGGAGGGATTATGCAATTTAGCACAGAATAATCCTATTGATGCAGAAAATGGTGAAATTGAAGGAGATTTGGAGAATCTATGTCTTTTGATGTATGACAATTATGCATGATGAATAATCATGAGGTAAACTTTTCAGTTCTTTCTCATACAGTTTTTGAGTGTTTAAAAATTATATATATATATGATTTTTATAACTTAAATAATATCAGAATGACATACATTATCTTAACATTTTACTTATTTTTTTAAATCATTATCATTTAATTGTCATTGAAAATTGAATTTCAACTCCTCTTGATGTTAGAGTTGCTTTTCAAAATAGTAAGCCAATTAATGTGTAATGGGAAGGAACATATTGTTATAGTTTTAAATTTTTATTTGGATGTTACAGATAAGTGAATTCTGCATCTATGAGAATTTTAATGACTTTAACTTACATTTACCTTTTACTTTATATTCTGTTGATAGTTTGGGAGAAAACTTAAAATGGTTTAGTATTTACTTCAGGTAGCTCAGAATGAATGAAACATATAGGGAATTTGCTAAAATTACTTAGTTTTTACTATATTTATTCTATGTAAATATATGATTTGTGAATATAGAATTTAAAAAGTGTTTTTCTTTTCAGAATGAATAAAGCTTTTGTTATCTGGAAGTTGAATGTTAAAAGAATTAAGATAGAGAAGAGCAAGTAAGTCTTGATATATATTTATAAAAAATTTCAAAATCAAGCTGTATTTTTGAAATATACTATGAAAACAGATATAATTTATCTAATAATTAGAAAGTCACTTTTGTTGCCTTTATGATTAAACTTAAGCCCCCTCCCCCCTTTTTTTTTTCCTTTTTCCTTTTTTTCATCATGGGCATTGAACTCATGGCTTTGAGCATATTAGGAAAGTGGTCTACCACTGAGCCACACCACCAGCTATACAATTTAACCAGTCTTCTATTCTCTTAAAAATAGTTAAATACTTACTATATTTCCCAGCATATCATTCTGTGGTCATAATGTTATGAAGAAACTTGGTGAGCTCCCCTGGTCATCTTATCTTTTTACTTAAAAAATAAAAAAGAGGAATATGATTAAGTCTTTCAAGATAGATGAAAGTCAATCCTATTTGGTAGCAGCTCAAGCAAGAAAACGCTTGTGTGTGTGTGTGTGTGTGTGTGTGTGTGTGTTTATTTTTGTTTGTATCAAAGCTCTTATGTTTCTATAATTGTGGATTGAGGTGCAATTTTAAGAAAATAATACAGAGAAATCCCATGTATCCTTTTTACAGCTTCCCCCAAGATGGTAACAGTTTGCAAAACTATTGTACATTATGACAACAGGACATAGACACTAATATGATCAAGATACAGAACATTTCTTGCTGCAGTCTGGCTGGGCACAATTCAGGTGCTACTTGTCAAAAGAAACGAACTTTATTTTTAGAACACACCCCACACCTCAGAGCCCAACTGCCACCACCGGCTTCCCGCAAGCTTCTCAACCTCCCCCACTCCTCCTGCTCTTGAGGCTGATTGGCTGGGTCGAGTGGGCAGAGCCAAAAAAAAAGTCCCCCAATGAGTAGCTCTGTGGTCTGAAAGGGCGGGGAAACAGCCCCATGAGCATCACCACAGAGGAGCCAATCAGTTGGCAGCTAGAAGTTTGTTGGGGCCGCTGTGAGCCAATCATCAGCTGGCAGCTGGAAGTTTGCTGGGGCCCCTTCGGCTGTGGCTCTCAATATCTTCTGTCACTAAAAAAATCCCTCGTGTTTTTCTTTTTTTTATGACTATACCCACTTCCTTCCCATTCCCACTCTCTCCTTAGCCTGTGTCTGCCACTAATCAGTTCTCCATTTCTATACTTTTGTCTTTCCAAGAATGTTCTTAAGGGGGAAAAAAGTGTATTCTTGTCACAAACAATAATGATAAAWAAAGAAGAGAGGAGGAAACATTTGGAGGTTTGTGGCATAGATGTGGTGATGGTTTACAGATGTATGCTTATTTCCAAATGTATCAAGCTATATAAATTAAAAATATACAGTTTTTTTGTGTATCCATCATACTTTGATTAAGTGGTTTTATAAAAGCAAAAAAAAGAAGAATGTTATGTAGATGGAATCACATAGTACATAATCTTTGGGATTGACTCTTTTCACATAACAGAACTCATCCAGGTTGCTGTGTATGTCAGTAGTTCCTTTCTGTGGCTTAGTACATTCCATGATATGTGTTTACCATGGTTTATTTAACCATTTGCTAGGGAAGTACATCTGGGTATTATCCAGTTTTTGGCTCTCCTTGAAAGAGTGCTGAGAATAGACATCCTTGACTTGTTCCCTGTCTTATGGAAAAGCATAAGTGTAATGTTAGTTTTTTGTAAACTTTTTTTTTATAAATGTTCAAATATTTGTGTACAGTGTGTGTGTGTGTGTGTGTGTGTGTGTGTGTGTGTGTGTGTGTGTACAGGTTGCTTTTGAAACTAGTTTTCATTTTTCTGGGGTAAATGCCCAAGAGTGTAATTGCTGGGTCACAAGGTAATTGCAAGTTTAATTTCCAAAGAAACTATCAAACTGTTTTCTAGAGTAATTCTACCACTTTAATTCCTACCAATAATGTATGAGTGATTCAGTTTCTACATATCTGTGATATCATTTGGCATTATCACTATTTTTTTATTTTAGACATTCTGATTGGTATATAGTAATATCTCTTCAGGGTTTCAATTTGCATTCCCCTAATGTTGAATATGTTTTTAAGTCCTTATTTGCCATAGACATGTCCTCTTTTGTAAAATGTATCTTCATTTCTTTTGTCCATTTTCTAATTGGATTATTATTCTTTTTAATTTTGCTGTTGAGTTTTGAGAGTTCTTTTTATATTCCAGCTATAGATTCTTTTTCAAATATGTGGTTTACAAATACTTTCTCCTGGTCTTTGGTTTTGGTTTGTTTTAAATTCAAGAGTATTTATTTGGCATTGATTACATGCCAGACATTGAATCAATAGTTAAATTGCTCTTTGGACCTGTAAAGTAGTTGAGTTCAGCTTCACTGACTTGGGAGGACTTTAATGTGGAGGCATGGCTGTCACTCAACTCCTCCCCCTTATTAAAGTGATACATTTTGCTGACCAAGGAATAGGGGTGAGGAATTGAAAGGAGCTGTTGCTGGCCATAGATTATGCGAATCATGTTCCTTATCTTTTCATTCTCTTACAATCATGTTCCTTATCTTTTCATTCTCTTTTGGAGAGCAAAGGTTTTCAAATTTGATGAAATACAATTTGTCAACTTTTATTCTTATGGAATCTTGCTTTTGGTATCAAGTTTAGGAACATTTTGCTTAGTCCTGGATTCCAAAGATTTATTTTGCTGTTTTATTTTGTTTGTTGGTTGATTTTGATTTAGTTTTTAAGGTTTTTAGTTTTAGGCTTCCTTTAATTCATTTTGAATTAATTTTTTATTATAAGGTATGAAACTTAGATTAAGATTCATTTTCTTGCCTATGGATCATTTGTTGAAAGGCTTTCTTCTAATGACTTGGTTTGGCATATTTATCAAAAAATCAGTTTGGTATGTTTGTGGGTCCACTTCTGGCTTCTCTATTCTGTGTCATTGATCTATGTGTCTTTTCCTCTGCCATTGGTTAATTTCTGTAGCAATAAGGTTTTTTTTTAACTGTCATATTTTGTTTGTTCTTTGTAAACATATGTGACAGTAGAGTATATTTTGACATATTATATATACATGGAATGTAACTTCCCATTATTGTGGTTGTACATGATGTGGAGTTATACTGGTCATGTATTCATATATGAACATAGGAAAGTTATGTGCAATGAATTCTATAGTCTTTCCTATTCCCATCTTCCCTCCCTTCCCATCATTCCTCTTTGTCTAATCCAGTGAACTTCTAGTGTGTTATCATCCACATATAAGGAAGAACATTCAGACTTTGGTTTTTTGGGATTTTGTTTTACTCTTTTTTTTCAAAACTGTTTTAGCTATTCTAGTTCCTTTTTCTTTCCATGTACATTTTGGAATAATTTTATCTACATCTACAAATAATTTTGCCTGAATTTTGATAGGAATAGCATTTAGCCTTTTTATCAATTTAGGAAGAATCAACATCTTTATTGTTTTGAATTTTTTTTCATTCTTGAATATACTCTCTGTATCCTTCTGATTTTTTTCCCTACCATTGTGTAACTCTCAGTATAAAAAACTTGTACTGTTATTTCAGTCTGGATTCTCTAGCAAAACAGAACCAGTAGGTTATATAATTTTTGCATATTGATGTTACATGCTATTTACTTATGTGATATGACCTTGCTGAACACACCTAATAATTCAAGGATTTTTTTGTAGATTTCTTAGAATTTTCTACACAGGCAATCATATCATTTATAACTAGGGACAGTTATAATTCTTCCTTTCTGGTCAGTATTCCTTTATTTCCTTTTCTTGCCTTATATAATACTTAGAATTTAAAGGATTATGTTGAGTAAGAGTGGTGAGAATAGATATCCTTGACTTGTTCCCTGTCTTATGGGAAAGCATAAGTGCAATGTTAGTTTTTTGTAAATGTCCCTTATCAAGTTGCAGAAGTTCCCCTTTATTCCTATTTTTATGACAGTTCTTGTCATGAAAGTGTGTTGAACTTTGTAAGAATTTTTTTCTGCATCAGTTAATTGATTTGATCATGTAAATTTTACTCTTTAACCTATTAATATGATAGATTACATTGATTGACTTTTTAATACTAAACCAGCTCTACATTCCTGGGATAAATTTTATTTGGTCATGGTGCACAATTCATTTTACTAAATTTCCTTCGGTAATATTTGGCTAAGTATCTTTGCATGAGGAATACTTATCTGTAGTTTTATTTTTTTAACTGCTTTGGTCTGGTTTTGATATGAGGCTAATACCAGCTTCATAAATTGGACAGGAAATGTTTTCTCATCTTATTTTCTGGAAGAGGTCATGTAAAATTGCTGTTAATTCTTTTTTTCTGACCTAAATGCTATTTAAGTTTGTTTATTTTTATTACAAATTAATATATTCATGGGGTGCAAAGTGATATTATGATTTGTGAATAAAATGTAGTAGACTAATTATATGAAGCTATAAACATATCCATCCATCATCACCTCAAATCTTTATTATTTTTGTGGTGAGAACATTTTAAATTTACTCTCTTAGCAATTTTTAAATGTACAATATGCTGTTATTAGCTATATTCACCATACTACCCAATAGATCTTTAAAAATAACATATTGTAAAAACYTATTCCTGTCATGTAACTAAGGCTTTGAACACTTAGACAATCATCATCCTATGCTATTCAGCCCCCTTTATCTGAGAAACACCATCTTGCTTTCTGATTCTAAATTTGAATTGTTTGAGATTCTAAATATAAGTAAGAACATGTGGTGCAGGTTGAAATGCTTGGGACCAAAGTGTTTTTGGTTATTTTTGTATTGTGGAATATTTTCATATGAACAACGAAATACTATGGGGATGGGACCCAATTCTAAAAAAAAAACAAATTCATTTATGTTTCACAAATGTGTATGTTTCATATACATAGCCTGAAGGCAATTTTATCCAATATTTGAAATGCATCTGTGTTTTGACTATGACCCCACCACATGAGGTCAAGTATGGAATTTTCCACTTGTGTCATCATGTTAGCACT